TTATTTTCATATACAGTAGAAATTAAGTAAGTGCTTCCAGAATAAATCATATCAAACAATGAGGATATAAAATAGAGAATTTAGATGTCAGATTGTAATAAAAATAAGAACAAATTAGACTAATTTTAAGTTGATTACAAGTTTTTAAGTACATATACAACTGGAAACACTGACCTGTTTTAATACTACCATTCTCTGCTGTAACATAGCAGTTATAATAGTTAGAGTTTATTGATGAAAATAAAAGTCACTATTTGAAAGATTTATATATTTTACTTTCATTTCCTTTTCCCTCTCAGCACCAAGTGCTAATCTGGGGAAATAAAATAAAATAAAATTAAACCTAAACCTAAAATAATTCTGTCTTACTAGTTAATGTATTATTCAGTAATTGAATGACAAATTAAAATCATTTTTTCTTAGTCTAATTCTAGAATATGTAGAATTGATTTTTACATCTAAATCTTCATGACAATACAATAGTATACTTTCTTTATTTCATATTAATGATATTTCACTTTTTCATGGGTCTTGATTAAAAAAAAAGATCATTATGTATCTCTTCTGTTCTGAATACAAAAGTCATATCCCTGAGTTATTAACTGTGAGTATTCATGGAAGAAACTATTTGTTTCTGTTTCTGTGTTTCATTGCTCCAAGGACAATGCAGCATTTCTGTTTCAAAATGAATAATGCTATTTTAAGAGCAAAATGTGTATCCACAGTTTATATCATCACCTATATAAACACTATTACAACCCTCCTGAGCATAAAAAGTGTCTGGGCAGAGTGACTGCCCCAGGGGCTGAGAACAACTCTGGGTGAGGCATTCACATTTGCAATACAGAGATTGTTCTCTCAGTTTCAATTTGTTTTTAATGGGATAACTGTGGTTTCACTTACTGGGTGTTAAACATTTTTATATAACACTATAAATGTGAATATTGAGGCTAAAACAAAAGTAAGCATGTTTTTCTTAATAAAATAATCTGAATGCTTGTATTAATACTTCCATAGAAATGAGTTCACTAGCCATTGAATTCACTAAGCAGGCAAAGGAGGAGCTCTGTGATTAGGATTGTCCTGAATGCTGTTCAGGTTGTAACCTGCACGATGATCTCATGTGGAGAGGATGAGTGAGTTGTGAGATGGAACCCGTCCTTCCTTGTCAAGTAATGTACCTAGGTATCTTGGAGGAAAGGGCATAATCATCTGTCCCCTTACAGTGAGGGAGGGGCTTGTAGTAACTATAGTCCCGTCTACGATTACACAACATTGGCCAGCATCATAAATGGATTGTTCTTTTCAATAAGTGCTGAACACTCTGTGAGATTCCACTAGAATACAACTTCTCAGACAGGATTTGGTGGCCCAAAACTAAATAACATTTAGGGTGTCTTTAACCTACTTATATCAATCCAAATTTCAGTTGTGTTTTACAGATATATCTAGTGAGGAAACTGGCATTTAATTGTTTGAACTCTGTTCTGTTCAGAATATTCCAAGTCCCATATATCCTTATTTGGACTATAAAGTAGAGGAGATGGAGACAAAAGGATAAATTACAAACCTTGAGTTACAGTGAAAGAGTCACCCAAGATTATGACAATGGTGGAAGAGCTGTTGTTACATGAAGACAAAATAATTCTGATAATTGGTAATATGATGTGAACTTAAGATTTTCAACTGATGAAAATAAAATATGGCAGTAATTTATAGTACTTAACTAATTTAAATTTTTTAAATGTTTACTTATTTTCGAGAAAGAGAAAGAGACAGAGCACAAGCAGGGGAGGAGCAGAGAGAAAGGGAGACAAAGAATCCGAAGCAGGCTCCAGGTTCTGAGCTGTCATGACTCACAGAGCCCGATGCTGGGCTCGAACTCACGAACCATGAGATCATGACCTGAGTGGAAGTCAGATGCTTAACCAACTGAGCCACCCAGGCGTCCCTATAGTACTTAACTAATTTAAAGACAGAAGTAAATACGTAGTGAAGGCAGGCTTCTATCAGACACTGTGTAAGGTAAGGATGATGACATGATGTAGACCAGAGCCTAAGAAAGAATTATCAACATTATTTAAGGCTGGTTTCCTCCAAGGATAAGAGAAGAGTGGACCTGTATAAATCAAATTAATTAGCCTGTGTGTCCTTCTGTGACATTTGGGAAAATGCATGTTTTTATGAACTACTCAGAAAAATGGTAAGTTATCAGTTTTTGCTTATCAAGCTTTTTAGGAGATAATCAGACTGATGTGGGCAAGCAACCTTCCTGAAGAAATCTCATAATGGTTAGAATTGCTAACATCTAAGACTAAGCTATAAAACACTGGTAGATCTTACTGGTGAAGTTCCTTTTAAAAAAATGGTTGTCAATTTTATTTATTTTTTATTGTAGTTAGAACATTTAAGGTGATATCTATCCTTTAGCAAGAGCTGTTAAGTGCTTTTAACCATAGGCACAATGTTGCACCATAGATCCCTAGAACTTATTCACCTGGCATAACTGAAACATTATGGGTAGCTGCTATTCAGTTGAAGGCCCTTCTTTGGGGAACATAAAAAATGAGTGTATAACACCAGGTCAGACTTCCTGGCTCTGAATCTCAGCTTTGCCACTAATGTGCTATGGGAGATTACCCAAAGAATCTGGACTACATTTTCTCACTGGTAAAAGGAGATAATAATAATACCTTCTACATAAGGTTGTTATAAAAGCTAAATAAGTCAATGCACATAAAATAGAAAGGTGTCCATTTTCTAGCATTGTTATTGTAATTTCCAAACACATAAATGTCAAAGTCCTCCCACATTTGGCTGCTTTTAAAATCTAAAATTCAGAACACAAGAAAAAGAAGAACTCAACAATGGGTAGATTATCAAGGACAAAAATGGTAAAGAAAATAATGAGAATTATATCAAAACCAATTTATGTTGAGGGTGGAAAAAGGTAGCATGAGCACATTTTGGGAGATGGTGGTTACATGACTGGCTGTAGTGGTAGTTACACAACTTTATGCGTTTGTCATAACTAAAGAACTATATGCCAGAGAGTAAATTTTACTATACACATTTTAAAAACCCTGAAAAAACCCCTCAGCTAGCTATGCTAATAAATAAAATGAGGAAGGGATGAAAAGTAATCTTCAAGAGAACAACTATTCTTCAAACAAAGTTATTCTTCAAATAACTTTGGAGGAAAGGTACATCAGTATGATTCAGAGCCTTGCCTGGAAAGAGCCCTTGGGAGCAGGGACAAGGGCCTGGGAGGGTATCTACAGCATTTTCCAAGAATTTGTTTGGTTGTTGCTTACTTGGTCTTTGCTTTTGTGACTAGACTGTGAAGAATCTCAGGCTTGGGGTGCCTGGGTGGCTCAGTTGGTTAATCATCTGACTGTGGCTCAGGTCATGATCTTGCAGTTTGTGGGTTCAAGCCCCGCACTCTGTATCTCTCTCTCTCAAAAATAAATAATAACATTAAATTTTTTTAAAAAAAGAAAAGAATCTCAGGCTAAGTCAAAAGTACCCGCAAGTTCTGACTGACACCTAGCAACACATGGGTATCATTTTTGAGGAAGGAGATCTTCCACTTTCTACTATGGACTGGTGAGAAGCACTCAGAATGGGGCTTCATTTGAATGCTGCAACTGCTTCAGAATGGCTCCATACTTCCAAGTGAGTCTACAGTACTATAAATCTTAACCTAGAGCATCAAAACTAATCTAGCAATGGCAAGATACACATATTACTGTAAAAAGGAAACCTAGGAATTATAAGATATATATTGAAATGGTAAAAATGACTCATATAAGTGTTGTGTTTCATAACTGCCTTTGTAAGGTTACATTCATTGCTTGTGGCAACTATTATAGCATTTTAAATGTTCAGACCTTGATAAAGATATTTTTGCTTAAAAGAGACAAGCTTCTGAAATGGTGTTCATTGTTTTAATATCAGAGAATTGAAATGTTTATTCTACTTCTTTTATCTGCAAGAGTTATAATTTTATGTCTAGGTGGCAATTTCAACATTCAGGTAGAAATGCTTTCAGATGCTGTATCTGATCAAATAAAACCTACAGAGTATGCCAAAACAGAGTAGTGTGCTGAGTAAATGTTCAACTTCTCAACAACATGTCATGATACTCAATTGATAAGTGTTCGCTAGTTTGTATAATTTCACATAAACAACAGGAGCCCTACTACCCACATGGCTGCCTGGCTGTTATGCCCTCAGGGGACCCAAATAACCAGAATCCCAGAACCCAGGGGGTATCAACAAACTGTCTCAAGTCCTCTGTGGAGTCTGTAAATGGTGATTATTATTTTTTAGTGACCAAAAATATACCCCATTTATATTCCTGAGAGCTTATTACTTCTTGAGGAAATTAGGCATTCACCATCTCTTCTGAGTGGATGCACCTGAATGTTCAAGATAAGATGAGTGACAGAAGACACAGGAAAAAAGCAACAAATCTGCAAAGGTAGAAACTAGAAGAAAGAGAGGGAAAAAGATGCATGGACACAAGTTTTTTTAATCAATGTATACTTAAAAAGAATATGACCAAAGGCAGAAATGGCCAAAACACCAATTATAAATTATTCCTTAAATAAAATCAATTTACTAAGCTTGTCCATCTCTATACTGACCTTTGTTGGAGGTAATAATGATTTCAATATTGATAAGAGCTAACATTTATAAAGGACCTGCTGTGTGCCAGGCACAACTGACATAAAGATCAGGATTATGAAGTTTACACAAATGTAGAAAACACTTGTAGTAAGATATACTCTAAACACTAGGATTTCCTGCTAATAGCCTAAGTGATTGGTTACTAGCATCATAGAACATCCATTTCATATTTTTTAAGTGTGTTCATTGCTTAAAACTTGGTTGATAATTAATGTTATTGGTTGAGGGTATTGTCAAAATCGTATGCACACATACATACATAAAAATATTTTGTAAATGTATTAAATACGCATTTTTTCAATAATTACCTTGTTGACGTTTGCAAATATATCCATTGATGTGATCTCCACAGTTTGCACCATTTAGACACGGTGATGAAGAACATTCATTTATATTAATTTTACAAAATTTTCCAGAAAATCCAGGAAGACATCTAAGAAAGAAAAAATATATATATAAACACACACACATACATACATATATATATAATATATACATGAGTCGATATTATGGAGTTCATATTTTTCAAATTTGAGTAAAATTAAGCACATGAAGTAGTTCATTATGGTTGGTTTATGAGAACTAATTTAGTTCAATATTTTCAATAAAATTAAGGCCTACTGACTAAAAGCAACCACAACCACAGATAAAGAGGGGGAAAAGTGCATAAGTATCACAGAGCTCAGTCATTTTAGATTTTATTCTTTTCATTCTCTTTCAAGTATATGTAGCTTGATATACATGTTTTATTAAAGTATCCATGCCTGTATTATAGAGATCATTGACTAAAGTTAATTATAAGATCATAAACTTTTAAAATAGTGAAAACCTTGATAGTGTATAAAGTGTTTCACAAATACTTATTTTTTTGAAGTTTTTATTTAAATTCCAGTTAGCATACAGTATAATATTAGCTTCAGGTGTACAATACAGTAATTCAACACTTGTATACAATACCTGGTGCTCATCACAAGAGCACTCCTTAATCCCCATCACCTATTTCACCCATCTTTCACACAGTTTCCCTCTGGTAACCATAAGTTTGTTCACTATAGTTATAAGGTCTGCATCTTGGTTTGCTTCTTTTTCCCCCTATGATCATCTATTTTGTTTCTTAAATTCCACAAATGAGTGAAATCATATATTTGTCTTTCTCTGACTGACTTATTTTGCTTACCATACTATACTCTAGCTCCATCCACATTGTTGCAAATGACAAAGTTTCATTCTTTTTTTATGGCTGAGTAATATCCCATTGTGTGTGAGCATGTGCATGTGTATATATCACATTTTCTTTATCCACACAAATACTTGTGTGGGGAGATTCCCTAGTGACCCCTATTACCCTAAAACCTGGACACATTTAAATTTATAAAATAATTTTAAATTTAGCATATAACTAAAGCCATTATAGAAGGCAATATAACATTTAAAGTATTGGTTCTGCTTATTCTTGGTTTGATAGTGATATTACCTTTCATCTGGAAATTCTCTCATTCAAATGTGTTTTCAGAGATTCAGGAATATACAACTGTACCTTGCCTTGAGGTGATATAAAAGGTTGAACTGTGGTCCCTAAACAGTATGTCCAAGCCCTAATACTTGGTACCTGTGATCATGACCGTATTTGGAAAAAAGGTTTTTGCAGATGTAACCAAGTTAAGGATCTTTGAGAAGAGCTCACCCTAAATTAACCGGGTGGGCCTTAAATTCAAAGAGAAGTCTCCTTATAAGAAGAGAAGACACATAGGGAAGAGGGGCATGTAAAGAAGGAGGTGGAGGTTGGTGTCATGCAACTCCAAGTCAAAGACTATGTGGAACTTCTAGAAACTAAAAAAAGGTAGGATTCTCTCCTAGCACCTATTGAGAAAGTGTGATCTGTTGACATCTTGATTTTAGATTTCTCTTCCCTACAACTGTGACCAAATAAGTTTCTATTGTTTTAAGCCACAAGTTTGTAGTAATTTGTTATGTCATCCCTAGGAAACAAATACAAGGAATGGCATTGAGTGCATCTGCTTTGTTTCCTTTTCATATTATTCCTTCAAGGCTAATTTTATACAAACCACTAAAATGTCAGTTGTCAAACCATGGTCTAAGAAATGATGGAGGATATACAAACAATAATTAAAGTGCAATGTTCTGGAGTGTCTGTACTGAGTGCCTACAACATGACAGATCTTTTCTGAATCCTAGAACATATGAAAAAAATTAAATTTTGTGTCTGCCTTCAATATAACCTGCCTAATTGAGAAAATAGAGAAGTAGCAAATTTTATAATATATTAAGGATTATAGTAAAATAATTATAAAATAAAACATATGGATAGGTTCATTTGGCTTTAGGAAGAATATATACAAAGATGAGAATAAGAACAGTGTAGGTTAATCGAGAAATTACAAGAAATTTTAAATGGCTGACACATAATATGTGAAGGCAAGTCTGGGGTGTTGATAGAAAAAAAAGGATAGATTAATAAATGGAGATAAGAGAATTCTATAATTTTAGATCTGTTTATACAATAGCTAATATTTACTGAAAACTTATGCACAAGTAACTTTTCTAAGGTCACAGCACTAGCAAATTACATAGTTGGAATTTAAAACCAAAAAGTGTGATTGCGTGGTGCACAGCCTATACTCATTATCCAAATTTGGCTCTTTATTTCCAGCATCTGTCTCTACCAAGCCAAAGCTAATAAATAATTATGTATTAAACAATCCATCATGTTCTAGCAACCCTAGTATGCTACACGCTCACTGAACCTAAATTGAAGACTCTGTCCTAACAACAAAACCTGTTTTAACTATGTATGGATGTATGAATTCATTTTTCACTAAGAAGTAAAAATCCTTGATAATAAATTACTACTAAGACTACAAACTTTCTTCTTTGTAGCTTCTAGAAACCCAATTCTTTTTAGAGGAAATTCTCTATTGGTGGTGTTCCCCTATGGAAAATAAACAAATTAGGGTTCATTTTGTTCATGACTGAAGTTTTCACTGCCTTTCCTTTAATATCATAAATTGTTCTTCAAAAATACTCTTATTAATTTAGATACTTGCCAGCATTATAAGAAATGCCTAGTTATCCACATTCTAATCCATCATCAATATTAATATTATTTTTAAGTTACACTGCAAGGAAAAAACAACTATATGCCTCATAGTTCTTTTGAAGGAAGTAACTTTAACAATTATTTAATAGATTCTTTTTCTTAAAATAATTTTAGACTTACAAAAAATTTATAGAAGTTTATAGAAAAGTTGCAGGGGTAGTTAAGAGAGTTTCCATATACTCCATACCCAGTTTCCTTTATTGTTAACATTTTACATTAATATGATACATTTGTCATAGTTAATTATCCAATGTTGGTACAATATTATTATCTAAAGTCTGTATTTTATGAGGATTTCCTTAGTTTTTACCTAATGTCTTTCTCTTTCCTTCCTTTTCTTTAAAAAAATTTTTTAACGTTTATTTATTATTGAGAGACAGAGAGACACAGAGCGTGAGCAGGGGAGGGGGAGAGAGAGGGGAAGACACAGAATCTGAAGCAGGCTCCAGGCTCCAAGCTGTCAGCACAGATCCCCACGCGGGGCTTAAACTCATAAACCGTGAGATCATGACCTGAGCTGAAGTCAGTCGTCCAACCAAGTGAGCCACCCAGGTGCCCCTCTTCCCTCTTTCTTTCCTTTCATTTTCTTTCTTCTTTCTTTCTTTCTTTCTTTCTTTCTTTCTTTCTTTCTTTCTTTCCTTTTTTCTTTCTTTCTTTCTTTTCTTTCCTTTTTTCTTTCTTTCTTTCTTTCTTTCTTTCTTTCTTTCTTTCTCTCTCTCTCTCTCTCTCTCTCTCTCTCTCTCTCCTGTTACAGCCTCTTATCCAGGACACAAGAACATTTAGTTGCCATATCTCCTTAGCTCCTCTAAACTGTGATAGTTTCTTATACTTATTTTTTTTTAAGTTTATTTCATTTGAGAAAAACCAAGACAGTGTGAGTAGGGCAGGGGCAGAGAGAGGGAGAGAGAGAATCCCAACCAGTCTCCCCACCACTAGCACAGAGCTGGAAATGTGGCTTGAACTCATGCAACCACCAAATCATGACCAGCTAAAACCAAGAGTTGGATGCTTAACCAACTGTGCCACCTAGTTTTCAATAGTTTTTTTTTAATAAACTCCAGAGTTCTGAGAAGTATTTGTTGCTTTCCTTCAACTTGGGCTTGTTTGATGGTATTGTCATGATTTTACTGGTGATAGGAGTATTAGGGATAAAGATAGCAAAACTCATTTTCATTAAGTCATATCAAGTATACCCTTTAGAAGGAAGTAGCCATATACATCCCACACTTAGGGGTAAAGAGTTATACTATATTTCCTTAAGGGGCAAGTATCTACAATATAATTTTTCTTTATTCATACATAAGTTTTGTTTATTGGAATGGTGATGGTGATGCTCATCATTGTGAATGTTAAAATGTATTTGTGACTGTAGCTAAATATAAATATGCCATAGAACTGTGAAGTCTATGTAGTTACGTAAACTCAATAAAGAAATCATTTTGGATAATTTACAAAAAAAAAAAGCCCCCTTCCCCCCCCCCATCCTGCACCAGAGCGCAGAGCACGCGCTGAGCACATAACTTCTGCCTTCAAGCTGGATTTTCTCCCTGACAAGATGGTTGAGGGCTGCCTACTAATTCCTGACAGAATTAACAGTACAGCCAACAGATGAAAAGTGCTTTGGGTCACTCAGACCAACGAGACCCAGATCCCATTAAGAAGTTTGTTGGACAGATCCCCGGTCCTGGTTGGAAAAGAAGCTGGGAGAACTTTTTGAGCCTTATGGAGCCATCTACCAGATCAATGTCCTCCCCTACTGGAGTCAGAACCCTCCCCAGAGTAAAGGTTGTTGTTTGGTAACATTTTATACAAGAAAAACTGCACTTGAGGCCCAGAATGCACTGCACAATATTAAAACTTTACCTGGGATATATCATCCCATTCAGTTGAAACCTGCAGATAGCGAAAAGTCAGACGCCATGGAAGACCGAAAATTGTTTGTAGGAATGGTTTCGAAGAAATGTAATGAGAATGATATCAGTGATGTTTTCTCCATTTGGCCAGATAGAAGAATGCCAGATTGTCCCGGGACCGACGGGCTGAGTCGAGGCTGTGCGTTTGTCACATTTTCTATAAGGGCAATGGCACAGAATGCAATCAAAGCCATGCATCAGTCTCAGACCATGGAGGGCTGCTCCTCACCCGTCGTAGTCAAGTTCGCAGACACTCAGAAGGACAAAGAGCAAAGGCGCCTCCAACAGCAGCTGGCACGGCAGATGCAACAGTTCAACACTGCCACCTGGGGGAACCTGACAAGTATGGGCGGACTCACCCCACAGTACCTGGCACCTCTGCAGCAGGCCACCTCCTCCAGC